CACTTTTATTGCATATTAAGTTTCAATTATTTTCGTATATCTGACAGTACAAAAACGCATTTGCAGAATTATAAAAAACAATAACAATTACCCAAAATATGAATAATAAGACTGCTGATATTGTAAACAGTGCCGTAAGAATAGTTGTTGCTGAAATATTATTTTAGAATCCCCATTTATATTTTGCACCACAAGTGTAACAATATGTCCTAAAATCTTAAAAAAAAATATTAACTTCCCATAGGGCAAGTTATAGTAATCGCAAAAAATTCGAAAATGAAAATTTTTATATATCTTTACGTTTTAAAGGTTTCTGAACATTTTGGCATACCTTAGAAAAAATGGATGTATGTGTGTGTGTATGTGTGTGTGCGTGTGTGTGTGTGCGGATACAAATTTTCATCGACGATTTCGGGAACACCGATCAACCGATTTAAATAATTCATAAAACATTCGATTCATATTGATAAGGAGACGTGCTGATTAGTTTTTGGCGAAGGCAGGTCTAGCCGTTCCAAAGATACGGGGCAAAAAGTGCCAAAAATGGTAACTCAGTTTTTAAGAGAACGGACCGTCCGATTTTAATAATTCAAAAAACATTTTACTTGTATTGACAAGAATTAGTCAAATTTTCATGAAGGCAGGTCTAGCGGTTTTTGGAGATCTAATAAAAAAGTAAAAAAAAATGCCATTTGGCGGTCAAAAATGATCATTAGACATATGCACATCAAATTATCAGATATTTTATAGAGATTTTAACAATAAGTATAAATTTTGTTTGCATTCCTATGGGTTTCATACCAATGTTTATTCATTAGACGGCGACGCGGCGCTTACGTGCTTTGACATTTTGTCTCTATGCAGTTAAGTTAAAGCAGTACGATAGCTTTGAAAAGAGTTCAGAATTTTCAAAATATGTCAAAATAAAGAAAACATTTTTTTTTCAAAAAAAGTTTCTTTTTTTTCAAAAAAAGGAATTTTTTGTCAAATTCCTAGTTTCTCAAAAATCTAATTTTTTCGAAGTAAAATTTTTTCAAAAATGTTAATCGTTTTTAAAAAAATAATATATTTGGTACGGGAAGTTTCCAAGGCACGATGCCCTAATTGCCTTAAGACAAAATTCCACTTACAGCTAGTTAGTTCTGAATTTATTTCATTTAATACAGTGTTGTGTAAATTTTCCTCCGGCTGCCTGTCCATTCCTCTGTGGCAAGGCAAGTGATGGTCCTTGTTCTTATATTACCCCGCGTTACGATATGAACAATACTATATATCGTATGGCGCCATATCGAATGCCGATACTTCATGCGTTGAATATGAAAATAGTATACGCAAAGAATATTGCCGAGGATATTGATGGTAAAGAGGATCTCAGAATTGTGTAATACTCTTCATACGGTAAACGTACGGTATCCATAAGGGTGGAAAGATTGGCAGATTTTCTGAAAACGAAGTGTTTCTAGTCAATAATGAAAAAATTCTATCGTGCTCTATTGAATCTTACTAAAATGAATACTATAGCGCAATAATAACCAAATAAATACCAAAGCATACTTTTCATTCCTTAACACATTTTTTTTATTTATTTATTCAAGTGATTAATAATGATAATTCCAATGATTGCTTGATTAGAGACTAAATACATACATTGCAATATTATATCAAACAAAATTTGTCCAAACAAAAGTGAAAACAATTTGTAGTGCAACTCGCAATTATACTAAAAAGTACTTATTGTTAATTAATTATTTTAACAACCGGTTAATGGAAGCGAATAAATTTTGCAGAATTTTGCTGACTCTAAAGTAAGAATGCTGTTGCATTTAAGTAACTATAACTTGATTTAAAAAATATATGGTATACATGTCATGTCATGACAAAGAGTTTTAAACTTGTTCTGGAAATAATACTCATTTCGGCCAGCTTGATATCAATCAGTGTTGATATTAGATTTTTACTTGAGATTATAGAGCAAAATATGATATCAAGTGATAATATCTACATCTCAAATTGCAGCATATTCTGCTCAATAATTTTAAGTAAAAATCTGATATTAGGTAAAAAATCTAATAAAAATATAATCCAATAGATAATAGTCAACCACTACTGCATTCAAATTGCTCAAGGTAAAAGAATACTATAGTAATCGCGTTATTTCATAATTCAATTAAATGTTACAATATACACGTCATTTTATAACACAATTCAAAGGAATTCATTTTGGCATTCACGTTATTCTTTAACATAATTTAAATGAGTGCTATGGTTTTTGCAAGACTTCATAACAATTTAAATTTAAATACTGAGTTCACATAGTATACGATACAACTCAAACAAACGATGTAAAATTTACCTCATTATAAAACATAATTTAAATGAATGCTATAGATTTCACATTGTGTTATAAAAACAATTATATTGATTTCTGTAATCGTAATGAATTAATTTTATAACGTATGTCAATTTTAACGTTTATACTAAAATTTTGTTGTCTATTTAGGAAACTCTTCCTTCATAATAACGAATCAACAAAATATACAAACAGCAGAATTAACTACCGATTTGTCGATTACCCACAAACTGCGATATCCTCCCAAGATAATAAATAGCATTTCGCGCTTAAAAAACACGTCCCGCCAAAACTCTGGTTCGATGAAACCGTTAATTATAATTATTAATTAAGTTTTATTACTTCTGCACCATATTGTGTGTATTATTAATTCATAGAACTCGAAGAAGGATTACGCCTCTATAGAATAATACATGTATTTTCGTATTGTTGTCAGTGTAATTAATCACCACACATGGGCGCGAAGCAAAAAGTGGAATTTGTCATCGTGCAGACAATGCCGAGTTAATTATGAGATGTTTGTGTTGCCTTAACCCGATATTCTCAACGATTGTTCAAAAGAGTTAAAGAAACTTCTGGAAGTCGAATAGTTTTAAAACTAAATAATAAAGTTGGATAAAGCAATAAAACTCAGCGTCAACTATATGAACAAAACATAGAGACATCATCCAATGCTATAAAATTTGACTTATTTTCTAGTACAATATACTTTTCTCAATTTATATTTGCTATTGAGTTCTAAGAAATAGAATACATTTTCTATCCACCATTTTCTATCCTCCATTGCGTTGAGTTATAATTTCACATAACAGTTATCAATTATAATGTCTCAAAATCTCGTAATGATTCCCAGAATCTTTCAAAAACCAAGTAATATAAATTGAGCAATGAAAATTATTTCAAGATACCTCGGCAATGACGTGTTTGCAATTCATAAGAAAACGTGATATGACTTCGGGCGCTTAGATGTTCGTGAATCATATGTAATTTTACATACGTACTCGCTTTCCGAAAATTGAGAGGAATATATAGTAAAAAAATAATAAATAAATTAAGAGAAATATATAGTAAAAAGAATATGAAATAAGAAACACGATGAATCTTATAATTCATAAAGATGCACTATGACTAAAACGACTAGTTATTTTTCTTAAATAATAAGATCATTGGAAAATCTATGTTGATTATCGATTGAAGATTGTTTAGTATTAATCATCATTAAATGGCCCGCGAGCACATTTCCTTAAGAGTAATAATTAAGCATGGCTAAAAATGTAAATCTGATTAAGTTGAGTGCAATATGCACATGTACTGTTATTTTTCTTTCTTCGAGATAATTATTATATCCATTTTCTCTCATTTGAAATTTGAATGAAATTGCAATATGATATGCGTAGTAGATAGAGGAATTTCCGAATCAAATTATTAAAATTTATAAAATAAAAGAAAAAAATATTATAGAAAAGAAAAAAATGCCCCTGCTTTTCCAAGTACTATATGCATCATGATACATCCGGGCGCGCACTAGACGAATCTCCGCTCCGGCATTTCCGGGCCAACACGAAAAATTCCCAAAAATAATAACCGTTCACTTAAACGCACGCGTATAATTTATTGAACGGCTTGTTATGTGAAACAGGTTATTAGTTTATTATTCGACATTCGTATACACTTGCCGCGTTTCATTATGAGTTGTCTTTTTGGAGTTACGAAAGTTTCACATATAAAATTATTTTGATTAATCAAAACGACTCATTTTATTGCATTTGAACTGACCATTTTATATTTATGACATACTTCATTACATATTCATGTAGTTAAATTTAACTCCTAAATGCATGAACATGCATTATCAGATAAAATGAACATTATTCTACGTACTATTTTTTACATGAAACTTTCTAGTTATGCATTTAACAAAATATGTTTATCTTAAATCAGAAACACCTTGGCAATTAAATCTTGTTTTATTAACTAATTAACAATTGTTAGAATGTCGCTTTGCATATTTGCCGAAGCAATTGCAACATTAAAAGTAATTAACATTTAAATATTTTTTGCTATCTATCTTTTATGAGGTTAATCGTTGTCTCACTTTCAACTTTGTGTAGTTATAATTTTACATGTCCAAAAACTTGTACAACAATTTTTTTATTTTGAAGTTTTTGAATAGATTTTGTTATCATTGTTCTAATATTTATTTATTTTTTTCAGGTCCATTTGAAAGAAAGTACACTGCAAAGCTAGCTTCCAAACCAACTTTTTAACTAAATGAAACCCTAAGTATACGTTGAAGTCAATCTATACTACCAAATGTGAATAAAGTCTTATAGACAAGTATATCTATAAGCTGTGATATAGCAAAATATACGACATTAAAGTTTGTTAATTCATAATTATACTTTATATTTATAATAAATAGTGCTATGCAATCTAGATCTTCTACCTCCAAACACTAACCGAGAAAAGTATCAATAACATGAGAATACACACGCGGACAAAATTTGAATCTTTTAATGACAACAATCAAACAATTAATACAACAAGGACATAGATCTCATATAAATAGTTTATCAAAAATCCGCGAAAAACGGCCAAGTTGGACGAAAACGCGAAAACGGATCGTATAAAAGTGCGGCCGCTCGGGGCGATGCTGGAGCCGCCGGCAAACGGTTCGGGAACCTCGGGGTCCCCGACCCCCTCGGAACAACAATACTCCTTAAGATGGAACGATTTTCACAGTTCGATTCTGTCATCTTTCCGAAGACTGAGAGACGAGGAAGACTTCGTTGATGTGACGTTGGCCTGCGAAGGGTGCTCGTTTACGGCCCACAAAGTGGTGCTGAGCGCGTGCAGTCCCTACTTCAGGAGGTTGCTGAAGGCCAACCCTTGCGAACACCCGATAGTGATATTGAGGGATGTCCGGGGGGAGGATATGGAAAGCCTGCTCAGGTAAGAGAATAGACTTATGACTATATTAAATTCTGAAATTATAGTTGCCATTTATATATTATCAGACAACACCACATGAGATAAATAGTTATTTTGTGAATCAATACTTGCTTCTATTTGAGAAATACCTTTTATACAATTCATATGATATATCTCATTTTTAATTCGAAAACTAAATTAAAATTTTAATCGGCATTTTCATGGAAATATTCTGTGTATTTTGTTAATATGAAATTTGTGCTTACAAAGTCGTCGTTCAGTATAAGATTAATACTATGCGCATAAATTGTGTTAATTTTTTCGCAGTCTATTACTTGCATTACCCTTGAATTTAAATTTATTTTGGACGAGATACTTTGCATTTAAATTCCTTCCTTATCGTACTTGCAAATATCGTTTTGATTATTTTGTTTAAATTATGCTGGTTGGAAATTTGTATTGTTGCATATTTTTAGAATAAAAATTCCTTTTATTTGAGAATGATTTTTAAAATATAAACATTGATGAAAATTAATTTATAAATGTAATAAAATGATAAAAATTTTGGAATAAGTAAATATTGTAAAACTGATAAAAACCAAAAAATTAAATCAACCTATCAAAAATCATATACCATTGGGAATATTAATGTTTAACAATCGTCTGCACAACGTTCAATTTTGAAATAACAAAAAAAAAATAAATTTGTCGTTTAGTTCCCAACTATAATCAAATACATTCTCAATTATATATGTAATTGCAATTTTAAAGCATGAAATACAACGAGATATTTTGAAGTTAATAAATTGCATTTTATGGCACTAAACGCTAATAATTATATATCAGCAATTAATGAGTGTTTTAGTCATATTTTTCCCGCGATTTTTGAAAAAGATCTTACCTCCAGGAACACCTACAACGTTTTATTACCATACAAAGAACGATTTACTCTGTCAGTCACGAAGAAACTGGAGCCGAACAATAGTCCTCGTCGCCGGCAGACAATAGAGGACATGCCACACATAGGCGAGAATATATTAATCCGTTCACGATCTGCTACCTTTTTTTTTCATTGACATTCGCAATAGTCATTGTTTAATTCTAATTAAATCCGTCTGGTATGTTGTGAATAATTTGTCCAACATTATTTGGATACAGCGATAGGAAAAACTGAATTATTTCTAATTTCAGCACATTGATAAAGGGTAGAAAACGCATCTTTGTTGGCTGCCAAAAATCAATAATTTATAAAAAATTAGAACAAAATCAATTTCGCTCAGAAGAATAGTAAATCATTTCAAATATTTTCGATTACTATTGAAATTTATATAGAAGATATTTTACCGATTTTACCTATAGTTAATCATTGGATACTGATTTGAATTGGTTTCAAGGAATGCTATATCCTTAAATCCTGTATTTGCTCGTAATCACTCATATTTCTGTCCTTATATCTTACATGACCGTTTTTGTCATATTTCTTGAATATTATTAAGGTGAAGAATCACCTTATAATTGGATCATTTACTTCTTTAAAATATAGATTTTTTGATCATCAAAATGATATTTTGGTACATCAGAAGATTAATGCAGTGGATATTGAATATTTGTTTTTTATCAGTTTGAGTTACCAAAAGTGTATAATTTTTAAAGAAGCGTTTAGATCTAAAGCCAGTCCATACACACTTTCAACATGTATACATTCCATACCCTTTTAATAAATTAAATGTCCATTACTATTTGTCCTAGAAAATGCGATACCTCGCAGTTCTTTAAACTCATTCTGGTTTATCATCTGTCTGAGCAAATATGCCATTAGCATTCAGTGGCTAAGTTGTTTTGAATTGCATGTCATGTTTATTTTTGTTTATTTAATTCACCTCCATTTGACTTATTAGAAATCAAAATGCGTCCGTTATTGTCATGCCTTCCGTCTGCGTTGACTCGGTTTTTGTTAAATATTCATAGACAACACCTGTAGAGTCGTAGTAGTAGTGGATACGAATCTTATTGGAATCATCCTGGAGAATTGAACCTTGGATGGACTCAGTGTATTCAACCATTGTTTTTTATTAATAGAGTTAATTGAATAGAGTTGTGTTGTATTATATGAACATTTAATTTAGTTTTAAGCTTTCTTTTTAGCTGCTTACTTAACAAGAAACAAAGATAGTTTTTTATTATTTACTTCATGCGAAGTAAACAAAATTGCTTTTCTTTGTTTGCTGCTTCTAACATCTCGTTAGAAGCAAATTTAGTGATCCTTATACGACGTCTCGTATTTATCCAAACTGTGGCTTTAGTTCTTAGTCTTGTTGCTTGGCGATTGTTATTTCCGTCATTTAATGCCAATAATAACAATTTTAGTAGAATGATTCAAACGCAATTACGAATAAACCGAAAACGCCGCATACATATTTCAATGCCACGCATCGCCTATTCCAAAATAATCGCGAGCAGAGTCACCAAGAGAGTTAATATCATTTCAAATCCGATTATAAATATAATATCAAGTAAAACGACAATATTGTTGTGTGAGTATTGTATTTAGTTCACGTACAAAGCTGTTTATAGTTTTAATGACGACATTCTGGTGGATACGGAAATAGATCGGGTTTTAATGCGAATTATATTGAATTCAGAAATAAATAGCTAATGACATCTTAGTTTCATGTGTAATAATTTAGCAGCCCAAGAAATAGAGACGAACAAGATAGAACTTCGAGTAAAATAGATGTATCAGATGTATTGTAGAGCCTAATAGACTTAATTAATTCAATAAACACTTTTCTTTAATATATTTGGGTTAACATTATTAATTAAATTGATTTTTAAATAATGGCTCATATAATTTTCATAAACGCTTGGTTGGAAAACTTAATCCCATTCCATTCAATTTATTTACAATTCATATTTTTATGAGAATGCAATTCATTGTATTATTATTATTTATACACTATTCGTCTTCCAAAGATTTTCCATTAGAATTCTGTACACAATCAATTTTAATTTATAATGTTGCAACCATAAAATTTCATTCATTTAACGATCGACGTGCACGCCATCCGCCAGCGCTTCAATTTTTATTCCAATTAGACATATTAATTTATAAATTAGTTCGGACGAAAACATCGCTGCTTCTGTGATTTTAATTAAAAATTCTAGAATTAATACGCCATTTTAATTTAATTAATTGTACTTGCATCTGCTTTTAATTCATTCATTACAAGAGTAATTAGAATAATCAAGTGAATAATAAAAAAGAACAAAGGTCGATTCGGTAATGAACAATCGATGATGGCAAAGCGGACCTACAGCAGCTCGTTATTATTAGATTTTTCCATTAAATATAAGAGAATTCTAGTTAGTTGAATTAATAAATCTTTTCACATCGATGAAGGAAACTTAATGGAAAAAAATATTTAATTAATGCTACAATTGAAAAATCAAACCAACAAATTTTAATCAGAATGATTTTAATCAGAATGATTTTTGTATGAAACTTGATATTAAAACTTTTGTTAATCATTATATTATGCTAAAAGTGATTAGTAATTCATATTTCACAGACATATAATAGTCAGCAATAGTTATAAGTTAACCATTTGCAGTTCAAATTGTTACATTTGAATTAAAATTCATCAAAATCTTTCATCGATTACATTATTTACTTCCTAATACATTAGGCAGGCAATTGAAATATTTTTATTATATTAGAGTACATTTAACATGCTTAGATGATTTGTCTTCGTTTTCTGTAATTGTTTTTGTTTAAACATAAAATTCGAACAAATGTCTTGGTAAAAACAATCCGTATAAATGTTTAATAAAATATTAAATAGTACATTTATTATTTCCAGGTTCATGTATCACGGTGAAGTGCACATCGGCCATGAACAACTACCTGATTTCCTCAAAACCGCACAACTTCTACAAGTCCGTGGCCTGGCGGACGTACCCTCTGCTGGTATGCCCGGCAGTTTAGCCAACATGGTGCCCACCATGGGTGGAACATCTTTGCCCATCACGCCGATAACTGAATTAAAGACGTCACCGGTAAATAAAATTATATATTTATTAATGAAAGAAGTCGGAAATAAGATTATTATATCCTCAGAGGACTATACTCAGAGACAGTACAAGCACATTCTAGAGAATTTTGAGATCTATATATCTTATTGATCAAAATATACATCGGAAAGAAGTTAGATGATTATAGTAGTTGATTACTTTATTATAAAGTATTGAATTATATATTATTCAAATTTGTTTCTAATAAATTACATACGAACCATTAGTATATTTTCGTAGTATTTCAAACTAATATTTATAAGTGACTAATTTTTTATTTGATTTTAATCAAACATTTTATATTATATTATTTATAATTGTATTGATTTTTTTCGGAAAGAAGTAGGTACCGAATATTAATTCTTGCTAAAATATTGCAGACGATCATAAAAAGATATGGACGCGATGATGGCATTCATGCTTGAACGCCATTGAGAAGGCCGATGCAAAAATCTCTCTGAGATTTAATATAGTCTATTTTTTCGTTTATGCAAATGTGATGAGCGATAATCCGGCGAAATGTTACAAACGTGTCGTGCTTCACATTCTCTTATTATATTGCTACCGAAAGTTAATCCTATGACGACGTTCTTGCTTGCCAAATGGTGAACTTACATACAGAAAACCATACTACATATTTTCTATTGTGCCATACGTATGTGTTTTAAATTGCATATAAGAAATTTTCGATTTTCTTTTTCTCAGCAATCCGCAAGTGCTCCAATGCCATGGGAATTAAAAAAAGAAGAAAGGCCAGAAAGAAATGAATCTAGAGATGACAGGGACCGAGAATCATCATTATCCGCCAATAAACCACAAAGGCCTCCCCCGCCAACTTCAGCATCATCTACCAGCTCGCAAAGAGTTCACCAAAGCAGGTCTTTAGGAACTCCTCCACCTGGCAAAAGAGCAAGAAGTTCGGATCTGTACCGTGCCCAAATGAGAGCCGCTGGTCTTAGTCCTGATAGAGTAGTCCGAAGGCTGGTGGAAAATGGATTGGATATGCGCGAAAGCTTATTAGGACAGGTGCTGGAAGGCGGACCGACGTTGCATGTAAATAATCAGGTAGCTTAGGATAATAGGTTGTAAGAATCAAGAAACATTTTGTTCAGAATTTGTTTGAAATCTGAAATTCTAAAGTCTAAAATAGCAACGTCTGACTTGAATCAATTATTCCTCATCCTCAAACGTCTTCTAAAATAGTTTCTCTGTCACCAGAATAAATCGGCACGATCGGAATCTTCTCTTCAACATCAAGGAAGCACAGGTGAGGACAGTAACAGCAGCGATACTGAAGAACCCAATGATATGGCAAGAGATGATCGGGACGAAAGAGATTATGAGTCGAGGTTACAATCCAATGGTGCTGCCTTATTAGGAGATGCTGCTCGGGGTGGTTCCGGATCTTTTCCTGGAGCGTTGCTGGGACTACAAGGTGAGTTTGATAGATAATATTTTAAGAATTTGCTTAGTACTGTCATGTATATAAAATTTGTTTGTTGATTGCAATTACAAATCATGCAGCATTGTTCACTGTACCATTTTTTATTATCTAAATTTACGGATTTATTGTTAAGGATATTGCAAGAAACAGTCTTAAATAAAGTTCGTAATTTTCTTTTAAATTTTACAGGTTTACAAGGACTTTTACCTGGACCTTCTGGTTTACATGGAGCTGGTGATAATTTCGGTAAGTTTATCATAATGCAATCATTATAGTAATAAACTATTAATTTAAGTGTTATTCATGTAAAATAAAATTAAGAAAACTACATTGATCTATGTAAGCAAGTAGAGAGATTAAGTATGAAACTATATCGAATAAAAATGTCTTTATAGACATATTTTCCCAAATGTTTTTGGAGGGTAAGCAGGAAGTTCATGTCTTTTCGTTGCATGTCACACATAGTCCCCGTTTTATGAGCTTAGTGGCGCCTACGATTCTTTACGTACTTATGACATGTAAGATGATATAAGAATCTACATACATGCCCACAAAAATATCTATGCACATCCCCACTGGAATATAATATTTCTGGGGGTATGAGTGAACATTATATGTACTTGTGTAATGCTAGCAACGGCCAACTCCGTTTCACGCTATTCTTTTTTCTGACGGAGAGTGCGCAGCAGAATTGTTTGCAGTATAAGAATACCCATTTCTAGAATAGATGCTTGTAGTGGGGTCAATCCTCAAACCTACCGACTTATTTCGCCCTATTCCACCCCTCGTTTACTCAGTTGACGTAGATAAAGCTCTAAGATAGCGCAGGAGAGGGCGCGGACCCACTATTCACCCGTGGACAATGGACCAGAGGACTCATACCATTCATCGAACAAATCTACCGTACTGACATTAGCTCTTGCTATACATTCCGATATCGAAGAAGTTATAAATAAATTCTTCCCGACTTTGTTCAATTATTTACTGACTATTGTAAATTCATATAGATTGTATAGGATGCAGCAAAAATAATTAAAATAATAAGGTACTTACACAACCATATATTTATTTAAAATTTTAATCACGTGTATTGTACTAGTTGTATAATTCAACTTACGATCCATAGTAACGAAATATCATTTTAGATATATAACTTGACACTCGAAGCTTTTAAACATATCTTAACGGTTATTCTAAAAATAGACGCTTTTCGCTTTTCTCAGTATTACATAACACTAGACAATATTTTGGAAAGCTTTATCCGATATTATGATGTCTTTCTCAGTATCAAATGATAGGATTTACGATCGTGACTGTGAATATAATGAGAACTCCAATTTCATAAACGACACAATCTCTGAAATCGGGGTAACTTAAAAATTAAGACCTGATTTCTATTGAATACTACTGGAGTTGGTAATATAACTCCATAGTATAGTATTGAAAGTATTATTAAATCACGACTAATATAATTGGTATGATAAAAATTCGTTTATACACCAAGCAATTAATATTTGTCAAGTACCAATACAATTTCTGGAATTTATTGCCGATCCCACCTTATAGTGCACGTGTATTACAAAATGGGTTGAAACCCATTGGATTTTGTGAAGTACGGAAAGGTTCTTAGAACATTACTGCGTATGTTACAACGATCTCATAGACATTTTGCGTTATATATAGCCCTTATATATTATACAGAGAGCGTTTGTGCGAGTAAACGCATCAGAGACGTCGAAAATAATTTCAAACCGCTCCAGACTATTTCTGGAAGCCACAGAAATATGGTACGTGCATATCTGAAATCGATATGGTTTCCTTATTTAATTTTAAACTCATAGATTTTATGAGTTACTAGATGACCCGACAGACGTTGTCCTGTAACCATGTCTACAATTTTTTAATATAATATACTAATATTCACCGTTTACCTGAAAATAATAATTATTGTTTTTTTAAATTACTCTTCACTCCAAAATGTATATACTCTTATAATATGACATGTCGTTTTTTGCAATTTTTTCCATTTATTTCTACAATTATTGCACATACATTCCAGTACTTTATAATCATATACATCCTAGAAAATTTCCAACAAACTTCAGAAAGATTTATCAAAATCCGCATAATAGTTCAAAAGGAAAATACAGTGAGCGCTTGTAATTTTATATGAACTTTATATAATAGCAACAAAGCTCAAATTGATTCTACGTTTTAGGTAGAAAACGTTTGTATGAGAAAAAGAAAAGGGCTGTTTTTAGGGTTTTTCCGGCAATTATTCTATTTTTTCTCGTCGTAAGAACCATCCTTGGACTTCAATGAACATTTTAAAAAAATAATTGGCCAAATTGGTTCACGCGTTGTTGAGCTATGCGCTTACCAACACATTTTGCGATTCATTTTTATATATAAGATTTCACGCGTTTCATTAATCATAGTCAATAGTTTTTAAAGTACTATTCTTGAACTTACGAACAAAATAAAACCTATGAATTATTTCATAAATATTAGGAACTAAAACAACGTTATTTAGACATAACTTAAGGTAATCCTAATGATTATTTCAATACAATACAAATTCTAAAGCTTTTTTATCAAATGTTTAAATTATTTATTATTTTAATGCACTTCGCGCTCAAATCGCTAATTTAATATTAGAAAAATTAGAAATAAGAGTGAATGTCTAGAAGTTAAATGTAAGAACTAAAAGAAAATTAGAAATAAAAGTGTAATTAAACCATTTTGTCTCAACAAAACTTCAAAGGCCATCAAATAATGACCAATTCCATTCGTCTAATCTAAAAAAACAATTCTCTCCTCGAAACTATTTCAGTAAATTCCGGCGCCCGTGTCTTTCGCCGAGTGCAAACGAAACGAAAAGTTCTCCCACGTGCGCACTAGCGCAACTACGCGCCACCACCTCGGCCCACACGCCATAGTCGCCGCCACCCGCGAGAGCTCTAGAAACGTGCACTGTGCAATGCTCTAGGTCTCTCGGTATTGATTTACGACCCCGCAGACCGTATCAAATGCCCCCTTACGCCCTTCGGACCTCCGGAGCCTAGTTTGCCAGTGCCGAACTAGATGATAGTTTTTGATATTGCAAACTAGGTAATCATTTTACACGGAAACAGATATCAAAATGATCGTCTGAGGTTCTTGGTGGTAGATGGTGACTTCAGGCATTTTCGAGTACGGCGGCACTTTCTTCGTTTGGTCTTCAGCAGTAGATACAGATACAGCAATTTTGAATCAAATACTACGAAAAGTAATTATTTTTATACATCATTTGGTTTGGCAATTTCATAGAACATGATGACACTTTTAACTTCCCGTAGGGTAAGTTATTGTAATGGGCCGAAAATCGGAATTGAAAATTTTAACATTTCTCGACGTTTTGAAGGTTTCTGAACATTTTGGCATACTTCAGAAAAAATGGATGTGTGTGTGTGTATGTATGTATGGATACAAATTTTCGCCCACGTTTTCGGGCGTACGGATCAACCGATTTGAATAGTTTAAAAAACATTCGATTCCTATTGATAAGGAGATGTGCTGATTAGTTTTTGGCAGGTCCAGCATGATTGGGAGAAGGGGTTATTAAGTTTTCGCAAAGGCAGGCCCAGCCATTTCGGAGATATACAGCTAAATGTACAAAAAATGGCAGTTTTTGAGAGAACTAAGCGTCCGATTCAATTGATTTAAAGAACTTTCTGCTTGTCTTAACAAAATAATTGATTTTGGAAAAAAAATTTTTGTTTCATTTTTTTTTTTAATTTTTTGTATATCGAAAATAATTCAGATTTTATTTTTATTTCTGACTAAATTAATAATAATAATTCTAATATACTTTAAACAAATAATTTCAACTCTGCAATTCAGTTTATATAATTCTTATAAATATTAGACAATGTTACAATATTTATAATAATCTATTTGAAAACATTCAATATTCCTCGAACATTTCGTTAGGGTACGGGAAGTTCCAGCAATTTGCCTTAAGGCACGACGCCACCCACCCCACTAGTTTAGTTATAAACTATTATATTCACATTAAATCATTTTTTAATAACTTAAATGATGATTTTACAATGGCATGTCTGCTTGCAATAGAAATATCCTCTTCGAGTGAATTCATATAAAATTTGGCACAATTTTATGTAAAAAGAATAAGTTTCGGTTACATTTAGGTCTTTTATTTTATGTTGTAAGCAACATTCACAATACAATTTTTGATACAGATAAATGGATAATAAAATGATTGTTGATACCTTGACGCAAAATTGTGACTTTAAAGCAATGGAGCAATTTTAAATCGATCAATTATATCAAGAAAGTATTTTTATAAATGGCGGAAGGATTTTGTTTCAATCATACGATTTGGCCAATTTCTACATTACAACATGATACATTTGAAAAGTTTTTACAAAATTTTTCAAAAGTTAAGTATTATTTTAGACAACCGTTTTTTGGTAACTAGAAATGATGGAATTATAATGGCATGTCTGCTTGCCAGGTGGATCCATATAAAAAACAATAAGTTCCAGTAATAATTGGGTATATTATTATAAAGATCATAATTGATCATAAGACAAAAAAATAATCGTAATCGTCAAGAGAATAATTTGCATCATAAGTAATATGCTGAGACAAGTATTTCTCATCAATATTGCAGTTGCCAATAATGAAGTTCAAGAGATAATCATAATCACTAAGAAAATAATAATCTTCGTCAATAATATCCCGGGATAACTATTAATATCGATTGTGTAGTTACATTTCTCTGACAGGTTCAAACGATTACTTACAATGGAACACCGATTCCACGTAGTTCGTCGAAACACATAAAGGCAACCCTAGTAATCGCAACCGCGCGGGCGAAACGCGCGGCTGTGCATGGCACCCCGGTGAGACAATTAATGCGAGCACACATACGTATAATAATAAGTCGAATCCTTTCCGGGCGTATTCGTGCGTTCTGTAACGCTCCTCGCACTTGACATAACCCGACCCGCCGCCCATCCATCCATTTGGGGGTTTTGTTCAGCGTCTCGATATAATCAGCGAGAAATGCGATTAATATCGCGAGAACCTACGACAAAGACGATCAAAGGATTCGCCGATTACATAGGTGCTCTATTATCAGCGGTTGAATGAGCTAGTGTACGGGTACTATATATTCGAACTGTTGTCGCTAGTTCAATTAATCAGAGAGCCAAACGCACTTTTCAATTACCTTCAAACTT